CGAAACTTTTCGAACCACACTATCTCAATATAAGACATGGAGTATGTATTGCATAAATAAATAAACTGCAAACATATGTACTTTGACCGAAACATGATTGCCAGATCAAAACTGAATTGATAGAAACTGCAAAACACAGCTTTTACAGCATACCTCTAACAGTGTCGAACTGGGCCCTCAGCCCGGGTCATGATACACGATGCCTACCCGATTCATCCGTGGCTAACTCGGATATCAACATATAGGCCCCCGAGCTTGGAGGTGAGGTCTCCCGACATCTCATCTGAGGTCGCTATAAGGTTGCACAGCCCGAGTTTGCCAGGTTTTGCCTCGGCTTTTCCGTTTCCCTTGTGAGTGAATTTACTTTACTTTAGTCAGGTATATTGATGACGCGAGCTGAAGCGACGCATCCATTAATGCGATATGGCTGTTGTAATTCTTGTCGGCGCTGAAAAGTCGTGGCGGTTCAGAGGCCTTTACACGCGTTGCAATCTGATTTGTCCACGTGACACACCGCATCGTTTTGTGTGGGAGAGGCAGTTTTAGGGTGCGTGGAACCTACGTGACTGTTTATGAGCCGTCGGATGGCTTCAATCGTGACCGTTCGATTCGAACAGTTACTTGCCATTTGATTTTGAAATTCAAAAGTCGCCACGTGTCGCATCGTAACTGATCGAACCACTATATATATATAGGGCACCATCGTCTTCTGGAAGCTTTTACTTTCTGGAAACTCGAGCGATTTTCAAAGCAAACCAGAGCAATTCGGCAAAGCGATTTTTAGGGCTTTCTTCAAAGGTTTTCTGTGAGTCAGCACTTAAGGTTTTCTGCGGTAATTCTTCTGTTCTTTATTTGTTATCTTTTCAATATGTCGAGTTCTTCCGATATTGCGGCGAATCAATCCGACAAGGAGGAGCGCGCGACAGTGGAGGAGACAGGGAAGCTGGTGATATACTCTCCCTGGCGGCGGAAACGGTGCCGCCGCTCTGGGTCACACCCATAACGCCAGTTCGAATGACCTCTACGATGGCAGATTCAGGGGGAAGACATCTCAGGAGTTCCCCACTATCGAGATCATCGACCTCGGTTCCAGCCCTTCCGACGGCGAGGGGGAGAAGGCGGATATTTACACCGGCATTTACCACGACAGTTCGGATGTTGACTCGGACTTTGTCGATAAAACTCTCCAGGGGGAAACTCGAGGTCGCGAGCGGGTCCTTATGGGTCCAGATGACACTGAGACCGATGCTGCTGTCCAGGCCGTGACCACGGCTCCTTCCGGTAGATGGCAATGGCCCCCGCGTATTTAGGCGACCCCGTCGACGATGGCAGCCTGGAACACTCCCTCGATTCTCGGGGATGTTGACCTGGTATAGTTGAGGGGCAAGGCGAGCTTTGGCCGCGAAGTTCATATTTTTGCTCTGTACGCCAGCGAGCGTATCCCTGTCCTCCACCGGGTTGTATTGGGGTTTATCGCAATAGCATTAGGTTCGGACTCCGCTTCCCCCTGCTCGGTGTTTTGAGCGACATCTTGGGCAATCTCGACATTGGAATCAGCCAATTGGTGCCAACTGCCTTCGCGCGGTTGGTTGGTTTAATCGTCTTATTCCGTAAGCAAGGTTGGGCAGACCCCACGAGCGCAGATATTCAGGCCCTTCTCGTTTTCAAGAAGTCCGGGGAGACCGGCAACTATTACAGCTCGGTTGCTCCCGGGGTGGATAGATCGCTGGTGAACAAAGTCCCAGATTCACTACACAGTTATATGCCGGAGTGGTTTTGGGTATCTGGTGCGTGGCGAGTGTCGGAATCAGCCCAACACCCGTTCACTGGTTTCATCTCCGGCAAATGTGAGTGTTATGCGCTTTTATTGACCTCCTACATGTTTTCTTCCTGTGCTAAAAGGTCGGTGTTTCCATTTCAGTCCACAACCCTCAAGTCGACGTCAGTGAAGAGCTAGTCGAGAAGGTCGGAACTTTGCTGGGACTAGACGAGGAGCAGCGCTTTTACCGAGACATGGTATCCGAGGAGAGGTTACTCACTCACGACCTTTGCCGATTACAAGACAGGCTACTTTACCCTAGGTATACTTCTCTCATTTTTTTTTTAATACAGCCTGAGATTTTTTTGTGACTTGTGACCGGTACTCATCTCCCACCTTTGCCTCGGCAGTTTACTATCCGTTGTACCGGTTGTGTGGTCTCCGATCGGTAAAGGACGCCAACAAATATGACAGTGCTAACCCCAATTCGTTGAAAGAGAGGAAAAAAATGGTGAGCCGAATGTCTTTTTTGATGAAGAAGAAAGCGCCGGGAACCACCTCGTTGGGGGGCCTCGGTGTGACTCCTGCTCCTTCCACCGCAGCTTCGACCCCTCCTGAGGTCGTCGTTCCTGGTTCTATTGGGCCCAATGCCAGCAGCGAAGTAGGCGTTCGAGCTGGTGGCCATTCCAGAGCTACTGGGGGTGAAACCGTTGGCTGTGCTGAGGCTGCCGGAGGCCAAACCAGTGGTCGTGCTCTTGTGCCAACCCGCAGAAGGGGTTACGGGACCGATCACGAGCCCGAGAGGCAAAAGAAAAAAGCTGGGCTCGTGATGAGGGCCCATAAGAGACCGGTACTGGCGCGCAGGAGGAGCACGGGGGGCCGTCTTCTCCTCCCCAAAAGAAGACCAGGGCAAAAGGGTCAGACGCCGGTTTGATGGCCGAGAGCTCGGTACCTGTGCATCAGGTCAAGACTTCCACCTATGTCCCGGTGAACCTTAGGCGAATGTCACTCTCAAAAAGTCTGTCCCGTTTCCTGGACTGGTGGTTCATCGATGCGAGTGCGGCAGTTCCTTTCAACCTGCCGAACTAGTTCGAGCACCCGCCCTAAGCGATGTCGGCTGCGAAAGCCGTGCTGTCGGCTTAGACCCATGTTGCCGAGGCGGCGACGGGGATGCTCACCCCTCCCCAGCTGATCCAGCACTCCGTGGCGACGATGGGCCGGGCTATGGTAGAACTCATGCATGCCCACGAGGTGATGTATAAAGAAAAGGCCATTCGTGATAAGGCCGAGGAGGATCTGGCCACCTACAAAGGGAGGGTCAACGAGCTGAAAGACGAGGTTTGCTGCATCGGGAGGCTCGAGACCGAGCTCGTCCTTCAGCAAGGGATGGCCACCAAGGCTGAGGAGGCCGCCACCAAGGCCGTGAAGGACTTGGCCCGTGAGAAGGCGGCGTGGGCTGAAGAGAAGGCCACGATGGAGCGGCGCAACGCCGAGCTAGGTGAGAGGGAGAAATGCTGGGC